AGCAAATTACAAATAAATATTATACTGCAGTAGCTCAGGGCAGGGGCTTCCATACGTGGTCTGACTGCCTGCACCAGACCTCAGTCCAACGACCGTTCCTGGTCTGCTCCAACCCTCCAGTCCGCTCCTCACCAGCTCTCAGCTGCTTCAAGGTAAGTTTGCTCCAGGACTTGCTCCCCCTCACTGGCCTCCGCTCTGTGACTCGCTTCCCCTCGCCGGCCTCTGGCCTGGGACATGCCTCTGGAGCTCACCAGCTCCTCCACTCCCTTTCGGCAAGTCAAGTTAGAAGTTGAAAAAACAATGCAGAAAAGGAGGAAAAAGAACATGGGGAGCAAAGGATCTCCAGCTGGAGTGTCTTATTGTGCCACCATCTTGCCAAGGTACTAGTCAGACCACAGCTGGAATACTCTGAACTATTTTGAGCTCTTTTAATGAAGGAAAGATATACTAGCATTGGAGGCAATCCAGAGAAGGTTCACAAGGCTCCTCCAGATATGAAGGGAAAGCTTTTGTGACAGAAAGTTGAGTCTATACTCTTTGTAGTTTAAAAGAGTGAGAGATGACCTTATTGAAACGCTAAAGATTCTTATGGGAATAAAAAAAGAAGTGTGGATGCTGGAAATCTGAAACAAAAGTAGAAATTGCTGGAGAAACTCCGCCATTCTGGCAATATCTGTAGAGAAAAAGCAAAATTAACCTGTGGAGTCCAGTGACACTCTGGAACATTTCTGTAGAAGGGTCACTGGACTTGAAATGTTAACTGCTTTCCCATCATAGATACTGTCAGACCTGCAGAGTTTCTCCAAGACTCTTAAGGGAGTTGACAGAATAGATGTGGAGATGTTGTTTCCTCTTGTAATACAGTCTAGGACCAGAGGGCATAATCTCAGAGTAAGGGGGCGGCTTATTCAAGACAGGCGAAGAGAAATTTCTTCTCTTGGAGGATAGTAAATCTGTTGAATGCTTTACAAAAGAGGGAATTTAGGGGTTGAGTTGTAAAGTATACTCAATCTGTGATAGATGCATTTTGAATCAGTAAGGGAATCAAGGGTTTTGGGGAAAAGCCAGGAAAGTGGAGTTGAGGATTCAAATCAGCCATGATCTCATTGAATGGCAGAGCAGCTTTGATGGTCTGACTAGTCACCTTCTGCTCCTACGTCTTACAATCTGCCAATTCGTTGAAAGTGTTGACATTATGCTAATGCTGTGACACTAGGGAGAATCAATATATCATATGAATGATAGTAAAACTGCAAATGCAATGAAATAGAAGGTGTAGGTAATTTCCAACAATTTTGCTGGACACGATTTGTAATATGGATTCATCTGTCTTGAGCTCAGACGCAGGCTAACCCTCACTGCAGTGCAGCACAATGACATTGTGTGTGGTGAAATGAACATCTATTATCCATGGCGTTTTCTTACTCAACGTCATACTATTAGTATGAGTAATTCAGCTACAGTTTTCTTGGAAATCTCTCATCCCAAAAGGCTGTGAATGCTGATCATTTGAAACTTTCAAGACTGAGATCGATGGCTATAGGTATCAAGGGAAACTAAGTTGGGGTTGATAGCCATGAACTATTTGAATGTTGGAACACGTTCGAGAGGTTAAATAAGTCTGGAGTACTCCAGTTCCTGTGTTTCAAACAGTTTGTGAATCGCCAGTTGGTATTCTTCCATTTCTTCATGGTTCGCTATCTCTGTAGTCTTCTCCAGTCTTGCCAGTTTCCGAGATCTCTGCACACCTTCAATTCTAGTCCATCTCACCTCAACACAGTTCCACCCCTCCGCAAGTTTGGTGACTGTACCTTCAGTTGTTTGGGCCTTAAGCCTGGAAATTTTTGTTGAAACTTCTCTATTTGTTTACCTTTGCTTCTTAAATCTACCTCTTTCTAGTTTTTTTAATTGCTTTTTACCTGGTTTTGGGCCAAATTTTGTTTGAGAACACTCCAATTGAATGCTTTGGGACATCTTACATTAAAAGTGCTACATAAGTACAAGTTGTTGTTGCCATAATTATGATTTATTTTACTTTGTACTGTACTAAACCTTGCATTTATTATTTTGTTTTATTGCAATCACACAAAAACTTCGCCAGATTTCCTAAGGATAATGTCTAAAGGTTAAACAGATGTTTGTCTCCACTTTCTAACTTTTTGGCACCGATCAATGGAATGTCGGACTCCAGTCCATCTGCATTAAATTGTGTCGCGGGATGTGCATTTCGGGAAACTAATGGAAACAAAATATAGTACCATGAAAATAGTTGACTGCATGCAGAGGGAACTTGTGATGGAAAAAGTACAAGTTGTGCAATTTTTAGAAAGGTGGTTTGTGAAAAGAACAGGACTAAATAAATGAAATAAATCTAAATGTAAATTTGCTTTCTATCATTGACAACTCAAAGTTATTTTGCAGCAGCTGAAATCAGCTAGACTGTCTAGACTAGTATCGACATATCAAAGTGTGGATTGCTGGGCACATGTTGTTTATCACAGAAAATACACTGGACTTGCTACAATAAAGGCAATTGCTGTGGGCCAGTGTCTGCCAAATTTCAATCATTGTTATATTTTAAAGTGAGACGGAATTGTTGTATGTTGTCACTAAGTATATATGTTTATATTTCTCAATTATTTTCACATTTTAAAGACTGTAAATAAATTTGTTTTTTGAAGTTAGGAAGTAATAGCCATGACTGCTTAACAACAGACCTTGATTTTGTGAGCAGCCATTAATTATATTCACACTTACCAACAGACTTTCAACAGGCTTTTACACTGAAACTTGGTGCATAGTAATCCTTTTTAATGCATCACTCCCTACAAGTTGTCTGGAACCTAAGGAACAGGGCAGGCAAATGTGTATCTCCTTAACTGATCAGGTTGAAAAATACTTACTGAGGGATGCAGCATCTGGATAAAATAGTGTGCATTGGAATAGTTCATTCAAGCCAAATAATGCACAATAAGCAAAAGAAAAGGGAAACACTATGTGATGAAGGCAAAGATACAGATGCATTAAAATGTTCAAACTCAACAATAATCTGGATCTGATGGTCAGACTGCTCATGATAAACGTGAATTTTCATTGTCAGCAAGGTTTGACAGCAATCAAGACTTCATGCATGTGCACTCTGCCTGAAGGATGTTTTTTAGCTCATTGTCTGCTGATTCTTCTCATGCAGTTTCCTTGCCAGCTTTTGTCAGTGATGATTTTCCATTTGCGTTCCGTCATGGGTGCAGGATAAAGAGGAAGGTCCTTGGTCTAAAGAGCCAGAGGAAAACTCAAACATGCCAACTGAGCTAACCAGCTCAATTAACTTTACCATGCCATTAAAACGAAGTATCCACACGGCAATAAACAAGCCTTACATTTTTAAAGAAATGTAATGAGTTAATTACATGAACATCACACTTCTCATGTGGTTCAATGTCAAGCCCCAGCAGGATGCTGTTAGTATGCAGAGGGGTGACTTGAACAGTTATGTCCTGATTTCCATCTTTTAATCGCAGATACTCAGTCACTGGAAGTTAAAATCCAGTCTATTCTTTTAACATGATGCTAATGGTCTCACCACTGTTTTCATGTCATAACCCAAGCCATGACGAGAGGTGGCCCACAGAAGGGTTTTTCAGACTAGGAATAAATTTCCTATGTTCTGTAGGTAGAAAGAGTGGAGGCAAGAAATATATGTAGCAAGTTCACCTTCTGGACTAGGGCATATGATTTATTCTCACTAAAGTCTACACTCTGTATTTTTTATATTTTTTTATGTCATCAGCTGAATTAAAAATGTTGAAGCTTCTACCATTAATTGTAATCAATATACATAAATTAAACTGTAGTTTTCATTTTTAAAGAAGGAATATATTGTATGAACCTTACACTTTTCATCCCTGTCATTTATGCTGCTTTCCACTTTTTCATGTTAATTTTTATGTTCCACTGTATTTAATGAGCATGACAGGCAATTTAAGCATAAGTTGACATCAGCAAATGAGTCCATGACGGGAAATACATTCAGGTTGAAGTTTCCAATTTTCCCAGTAAGAAATGTGTGCACTGAGAAGAAGAGTGGACTTAGCACTCAACAAGATTGTATAAATACCATTTTCACCATTTCCCCAATCTAACATCGCCCATTAACCCTTGCTGTTTGTTCCTATTTATCAACAATTATTATGTCTGTGCTGTGGCAGGGGATATTCCTGTCTGATGGAGGTGGTCAGAGATAAGAGCAAGGGAATGGCATTCTGCGCTCGCTACCTTCCCTTCACAACGCTGAGTCCTTCAATTCAGCAACTGATGCATTTGAATAAGGGAAACTCTGGGATCCTGTAAGCAATGTCAGAAGAGTTTGCTTCTCATTCTCTTGCATGGTTACTTCTGCCACCTCAATTAATCGCCCACATATGTATGTGTATTAGTGTCTGGATTGGAATGCAATCCGTGAGTTTTCCTGCCCCGAACTTAATCACGAGGATTAATCTTTCTTTCTTATTAGTTGTAACGTTTGGTAACTCTACCTGTGTGAACTAAGGAAACTTGCATTTCTATAGCTCCACAAGAAAAGGAAAAACGTAACCCATTTAACATACACACAATGCACTGATTGCGTATAGGAGCATAGGAACAGCTGTAGGTGATTCAGCCCCTCGAGCCTGCTCCACCATTCAATGAGATCATGGCTTATCTGTGGCCTAAGTCCATATACCTGCATTTGTACCATATCCGTCAATACCTTTTAGCTTAACAAAAATGTATTTATCTCAGCTTTAAAATTAAGAACTTGCCTGTGTCTACTGCCATTTGTGGTAGAGAGTTCCAATCATCTACCACCCTGCGTAGGTAGAAGAGCTTCCTAACATCTCCCCTAAATGGTCTGTCCTAATTCTTAGACTATGACTCCGAGTCCAGCCACTCAATCTAAAACAAATGCATTCAGTTTGAAGAAAAGTAGCTTTAAAAATTCTTTCTGTTCTTATTCCCCTCAGGTTTCTGTGAATTCTACTGTTCAGTTTCCAACAATAAACTTTACTTCATCAAGATCATTGGAAGAGCTTTCCCTGCCCCAAGATAGCAAACGTTTACTGCAGTGGACAGAGAAAAAATATGGATCTGTGACTTCTTTCACTGAACTCAATAAGGCTAATAACATCTACATCAAAGTGGGTGAAGGTGGGTTAGCCTTACTTTACTGAGCAATGTTTGTACCTAATGTCTAAGCTATGGTAATCACTGTGGACTCCTCATTATTAAAGATGTGACTTATCAAGTAATGCAGTCATTCAAATTCGGAATGGCCTTTGGTTATTTTCCTAAACTATATGTTAGTATTATATATGTATATTACCTCATATCAAGAACCTGATATTTCTTCTTATTCTTGCATGGGATGTGGGCATTGCCAGCAGGGTAGCTTAGTTGTCCATTATAATTGCCCTTTAGATGGTGACTTACCTTCGTAAAACACCACAATCCTTGTGGTGCTGGAAAGATAGTACCAGGATTTGACCCAGTGCTGGTGAAAGAATGACAACATGCTTCTAAGTCATGAGGTATGTTGCTTGCAGGGGGCTTTGCAGGTAGTTGTGTTTTTCAAAGCGGTAGATGTTGCAGGTTTGGAAGGAGTTGCAAAAAGGAAACATAGTACGTTAATGTAATAAACCTTATAGGTGGTACACACTGCTCCCACTATGTGTCAGTGCTGAAGGGAGTGATGTAGAAGTTGTTGGATGTATTTCTGTTCTAACTGGCTGCTTTGCCCTGGATGGTGTCAAGCTCCTCGAGTGGTGTTCTATTCTTTCACAGGTTGTGGGTGTCACCGTCTAGGCCAGCATTTGTTGCCGATCCCCTAGATGCTCTTGAGAGGTAGTGGTGAGCTGCTGATTTGAAACACTGCAGTCCATGTGGAGTAGGTAGCCCTCATAAAGCTGTTAGAAAAGGAGTTCCAAGATTTTAACCCCTCGACAATGAAGGAGCAGCAATGCGGTTGAAAATTGAGGGATGACGTGTAGCTTGGAGGGGAACTTGCAGTTGTGGATGTGTTTGGACTCATCAAAGCAAGTGGAGAGTATTCCGTTACACTTCTGACTTGTGTCTTGTAGGAGTTTTGGGGAGTCATGAGGTGAGCTGATTGACCTGCTTTTGTAACCACAGTAATTATATGGATGATTTAATTCAATTTCTGCTCAATGGTATGCTCTGGAATGTTGATGGTGGGGGATTCAGCAATGGTATACTTTTGAGTGCCAAGGGAAGTCGTTACATTTTCCCTAGTTGGAGAAGTGCATTGCTTGGTATTTGTGTCACAAATGTTATCTGAAACACTTAATAGTTTTACATAATATTTTGTAAATTGACATTTTAATAAACATTTGTAATTATAACGATGCTAAGAAAGTCATAGATAATATTTCTGACCTCTCGTAGATCCCTTGTTGCCACCAACTTGCACCATAGAAAAGAATTTTCTATCCCAGAATTATCTTGCAGCATATCTTAAGACTCAGTCTGCACAGGGCTGTTTACTACCCAACCCAACAGAAGAAAAGGAAGTTCATCTCATTGAACTTGAATTACCAAGTTCAAGTCCTTACAGGTAAAATGATACTTTACTTGCTTTCTGTTCTTGGACACTTTAAATGTTGAGTTTAACACATCATATGCCTTATTCCTTATAAAGATCAATCACAATGCCTTCAATCAAGAGTGATGTTAAAAGCCATAGATATCACAAAACTTTAAAACTGCATTCAAGTTAAACATTTTTCTATATATTCATATATCATCTTTCTAAACAGGGATTACACTTGAAACTGTAATTAATCTCCAAATTTATCGAGATATCCAAAGCTTTCAATTCACTTGCAACATAGTAACTCCTAAGTATCCATTCTTTCCTTATTAATGAACTCAGTTTCTATTTTGTGGCAGAGAAACAGAAAACAAACATATTCAGTTTTACAAATAGATTATGTAAAACTTGAAAATTAACTTTGCAATCTGTTTTGCTGTCTCTAATACATACTGAATTGGTAAACTTGCTAACATTTTTTGACATATAGTAATCAGATTTATGGACAACATGTATTGGGATGACAAGGTGCAGGGCTGGATGAACACAGCAGGCCAAGCAGCATCATAGGAGCAGAGAGGCTGACGTTTCGGGCCTAGACCCTTCATCAGAAAAGGGGGAGGGGAAGGGGGTTTTGAAATAAATAGGGAGAGAGTGGGAGGCGGATAGAAGAGGGATAGAGGAGAGGATAGGTGGAGAGGAAACAAACAGGTCGAAGAGGCGGGGATGGAGCCAGTAAAGGTGAGTGTAGGTAGGGAGTTAGGAAGGGGATAGGTCAGTCCAGGGAGGACGGACAGGTCAAGGGGGCGGGATGAGGTTGGTCGGTAGGAGATGGAGGTGCGGCTTGAGGTGGGAGGAGGGGATAGGTGGGAGGAAGAACAGGTTAGGGAGGCAGGGACGAGCTGGACTGGTTTTGGGATGCGGTAGGGGGAGGGGAGATTTTGAAACTTGTGAAATCCACATTGATACCATTGGGCTGCAGGGTTCCCAAGCGGAATATGAGTTGCTGTTCCTGCAACCTTCGGGTGGCATCGTTGTGGCACTGCAGGAGGCCCAGGATGGACATGTCGTCTGAGGAATGGGAGGGGGAGTTGAAATGGTTCGCGACTGGGAGGTGCAGTTGTTTATTGCGAACCGAGCGTAGGTGTTCTGCAAAGCGGTCCCCGAGTCTCCGCTTGGTTTCCCCGATGTAGAGGAAGCCACACCGGGTACAGCGGTATTGGGATGGTTCGATTTCTATTACTTGGATAGAATTAACATGGAACAAAAAACATTACAGAACAGGAACAGGCCCTTTAGCCCACCAAGACTGCACCGATGCATGATGCCTTTCTAAACTAAAAACCTTCGCTTCGATGTGATCCATATCCCTCTAATCCCTGCCTATTTATATATCTGTCAAGATGCCTCTTTAATGTTGCTATTGTATCTGTCACGACCACCTCCTATGGCAGTGTATTCCAAGCACTCTGTGTAAAAAAAAAAAAAAACAACTTACCTCCTTTTACCTTAAATCTATGTCCCCTAGTAAGTGACATTTCTACCCTGGATAAAAGACTCTGACTATCCATTCTATCCATGCCTCTTATAATTTTGTAAGCTTCTATCAGGCTGCCCTTCATCCTTCGATGTTCAAGTGAGAACAAACCAAGTTTGTCCAATCTCTCCTCATAGCTAATACCCTCCAAATCAGGCAATGTCCTGGTATGCCGTTTCTATACCCTCTCCAAAGCCTCCACATCCTACTTGTGGTGTGGTGACCAGAACTGTACGCAGTATTCCAAATGTAGCCTAACTAAAGATCTATGCACCTGCAACATGACTTGCCAATTTTTATACTCTATGTCCCAACCAGTGAAAGCAAACATGCTATATGCCTTCATGACCACCTTATTCATTTGTGTTGTCACTTTCAGGAAACTGTGGACCTGTGCACCTTTGGATGTTAATGCTGCTAATGGTTCTGCCATTTACTGTGTTCCTTCTGTCCTGCATTAGATCTTGCAATATGCATTTTTCTGGATTAAACTCCAACTGCCCTTTCTTCGTCTAAGTCTCCAGCCTGTTTATATCCTGCTGCATCCTCTGGTGATGCTCCTCATTATCTGCAGCTCCCCCAATCTTTGGGTCATACATATACTTGTAGATGATCCTCTGATGACCATTATTTAATAAGCCACCCATATGTTAAACTGCAGGCTTCATGAAATTGGCCTTCCAACTTCAGTGTACTGCTTATAGGAACTAAGAACAGGAGTAGATAATTCAGCCCTTCAGGCCTGCTCCACCATTTAATACAATCATGACTGATCCCATCTTGGCCTCAAACCCACTTTCCCTGTTGGCCCTCCATAACCTATCAACCAATTACAAAAACTCCGTGTATCTTCTCCTTAAATTTACTCAATGTCCCATGTACCTTTTAAACATTGCGCATCTTCTGAACTCCGGAGTATAGGCCTAAAGTGCTCAATCTCTGTTCATAAGACAAACCCCTCCTCTCTGGAATCAATCTAGCAAACCTCTTCTGAACTGCTTCCAATACAACCGCATCCCTCCTTAAGTAAGTACTCCAGATGTGGTAACACTAATGCCTTGTACAGTTGCAGCTACACTTCCCTCCTTATATAGTCTCTTGTCATCTGAACTGTGACACAAAGATTTGTATTTATGGATGTACCTTCTCACAATGCCTCAAGCATTAAATATCAAATATACATTTTTTGACAGTTCATCACTGTTACAGAAATATCTACATTTTAGTACCATTTACTCAAGATTGTTCCTACCTCTGGGCCAGAATAGCTGGATTCAAGTCCGACCTGCCCCAGAGGTGTATCATAGCATGTCTGAACAGATTGATTCAAAGTAATTGTAAAAGCTTCTACTTGCAGTCATTTAATGCTGTTTTAACTTGAACAGTTCAATCACTAGTTGTGGTAATTATACTTTACGTATTCTGTCCCTGCAAGCCCTCTAATTTATGTGCACAATTGGAGAGTATTTATCTTCGATGGAAATGCTCTTTTGATCTTTTGCTACTTTGTTTTTCAATCTCCAGGAGAAAATCAATACTAATAAATTTTCTGGCCCTAACAACTGACTGTCCCTTCTGAACTCATTTTATGACATTCACCTGGCTGACCTTGTTACAATCCCTACACCTTCAAATTACAAAATCAAATTTCTACAGTTAAGAATCACAGTTAGTTTCCAGATCACTTGGCAAGCACCTCTCAACAAAAAGTCAAGAAGATAATACCTAAATGCACTCCATCATTGTTGTGCAAGCATTGCCAAAGTCTCAGTTGGCATAGAACTTAACAAGTTAACTTTATTATACCACATATGCAACAGACTTTAAAACATCTCTTGTGGATTCCCACTTTTTTTTTCAGCCTCCCACATTTTAACCCAGCTGTAAAAGCAGAATACTAGGACACAATGCTTTGATTATCCTTTTCTGTTTACATGTGGTCTAAAATTCCTATTTCAAAACTCAATTTGGTCATCAGCTGTGACCCTATTAATAATGTTACCAGGGCACTTCTAATGTGTGCCAAGCAAAGACCACAAGATCAGCAGTAGTCATTATTGTTCCTATTGGTATTAGTGGCAGAGGCGTAGAAACAGGTTAACTGATCTCTATCATACTCGATGCAAGGGCCAGAGAATAAGTGGAAGTAGTAGAGTTATGCAGTTTCTTAACAAAAAAACAAACTCTGAACTGGCTGATATTCAGCCAGATCAAAATTTTGCATGCAAATTAAACTTCTGGTTGAGATAAATGGGTTTATGGTCAAATTTTACTCTTTGCAAAATCTGACCCTTCAACTACTACTGGAAAAAGTGTGTAGAATTATTTTGAGAGAATGTTATTGTGAATCATTTTCTAATGCATATTGAAGGCTGTTTTGCACATGTTCTATTGTCTGGGATTAAATCCAATTTTATAATCAACTGGCCAGACACTAGAGACATATTCAGTTGGTAAAGGTTCAGGATAAGTAAAATTTCTGGCACACTCACTTAAACTTTTACACTCTTCTACTGCAGAATTTTCAAGGTGGACATTGTTATTGACATACGACCTGTGCATGCAGACACCATAATTTCCAGAAACATTTTGCTGATCCTCAAATGTGGGAAAGCAGTCAATTGGGTATTCAACACACATGATGTTAATGGAAAACTGGAAGTGATTGTAAGTATTTGAGCATAAAATACTTTTCAGTGAACGAATTCTTCTTTGCTAGAAATCAAACTAATAAAACTGGGTTTAGCATTGGATTACGTGGTGAAGAGTTATTGATCATCATGGTAATCATGGTGAATTAATTTAAAATTAAATTAAGATGCACTGCAGAAATTCCACCAAAGATCCTCAGGTAGCACAAACCCATGACCACTTCCATCTAGGAGGACAAGGTCAGCAGATACACGGGAGCACCACCACCTTCAGCTTCCCCTTCGAGTCATTCACCATTCTGACTTGGAAATATATTGCAATTCCTTCACTATTGTTGGATCAAAACCCTGGAATTCTCTACCTAATGGCATTATGGGTCAGCCCACAGTAGGTAGACTGCAGCAGTCCAAGAAGGCAGCTTACCGTCACCTTCTCAAGGGCAACTAGGAACTGGTGATAAATGTTGGCTCAGCCAGCAATACCCACATCCCACAAATTAAGTTAAAGAAAAACTAACAGACAACTTTGAGAAATGTTGAATTGCTGGAATGAAGAAAGATTCATCTGAGGAAAAACTTTAATTTGTCACAATTTGTTTCTTCTTCCTGACATGCATAACTTGAAACAATGTAATGTTTAAAACTCTTTGGTTGCTGATTACAGATCATCGTAAAAGAAGTTGATTCTTTGCAAAAGCTTTATCTTCCACAGCTTCACTTAGCAAAACGGGTCAGGGCACTGAAGAGTGTAATATGAGAAAGGAAATACAGAAAATGCACATTTCTGGTGGTCTTAAGCAGTTAATTCCCTCAGGCTGTTGGCTGTTGAATTCTGTAGTTGCATGAAATCTTCAAAAAGTAATTCTACTGCTTAGTGATTCTTGCACTCAAGGGCATATAATGCTGTTCCATTTTTTTTAGTTACCCACAGCTTTCCATTCTTGTTGAGGCATGTTTCCACGCTTTTTTTGGGTAGTTTTTAATCACAAGTCAAGGGCGCCTTCAGATTTTGGTGGATTTCATAGTTAAAGAGTTTTACAGTACTAAAAGAGGCCCTTCAACCCACTGGGATCTATGCCAATCATCAAGCATCTATCTACTCTACTCCTGTTTTCAAGCCCTTGGTCCATGGCCTTGTATGCTATGGCATTTAAACTGTTCATCTAAATACTTAAATGTTGAAATGGTTGCTGAATCTATAACCTTTTCAGGCAGTGAGTACCAATTACACACCACCTTCTGAGTGCAAAATATTCCTCCTGAGATTCCATCTAAAGAACCTGCTCCATAAATCTATGCCCCTGGCAATCTACTAAAGGGAAAGGTTTATCTCCATCAACAATATTTATGCCCTTCATAATTTTATAAACCTCAATCAGATTCTCCCCTCAGGCTCATATATAAAGGTAATGTAGGCTAATAAAGGCAAGTATCTTTGCCTTGACTAATAACCTGTTCCCAACAACCCTATCCACCTGTCCTGTTGCCTTCAAGGATCTATATGCAAGCACACCAAGGCCCTGCTGTTCCATAGTACTCTCCTGGGCCCTAGCATTCATTGTGTACTCCCTTGCCTTGTAGGTGCTCCCAGAATGCTTCACTCCATACTGTTTTTAGGAATTAAATATCATCTGCCACTGATCTGCTCATCTGACCAGTACATTGATATCTTCCTGCAGTCTTTAAACTTTCCTCCTTGTTACTTACTGCACCACTAATTTTGGTCTCCTCTATGAACTTACAAAAGCATCCAATATTCATGTCTAGATCATAAATGCACACTACAAACAGCACCAACCCCTGCAATACTGCACTGGAGGCAGGCTTCCTGTCACAAAAATAACTTTCAACCAGCACCCTTTGCCCTTACCACTAAGCTAATTATAGATCCAATTGCCCTGGATCCTGTGGACTTGTAACTTCTTCACCAGTTCCAATACAACCCCTTGTAAAAAGCCTTGCTGAAGTCCATGTATACCACATCAGCTGCACTACTTCTATCCACGCACCTAGTTAACTCCTCAAACAACTCAATTACATGATATAGACATTGTATTCCCTCTGATAAAACCATGCTGACTATCCCCAATTAATCCTTGTATCTCCAAGTGGAAATAAATTCCTCGGAATTTTCCCAAAAGTATCGTGACTACTGGTGTTGGATTCATTGGCCTGTAATTCCCTGGTTTATCTCTGCCATCTTTCTTGAATAATGGTATCACGTTAGCTGTCTTCCAGTCCTCCGGCACTGCCATTTTATTACAAAAACCATTGTGTGACATTTTGCACTCGCATTTTCATTAGTGACCCATTACAGATGCTGAAAATAAATGAATTGATAAGTTGATGCATAAATAATTTACCTTAGAAGTATCAAACGTTTGAGTATTGCTGCATTTGCGATTCTTGGATACTTGGTAGAGTGGTTGGGGAGGGTTTAAACTAGTGTGGCAGGGGAATGGGAACCAAGTGAGTAGGGTAGTAGATGCAGAATTTGAGGGAGAGCTAGAAACCAAGGCAAACATTACTAATAACACGAACAGGCAGGGAAACGCTGCTGAAAAGAGCAGGGGAGGTGGTCTGAAATGTATGTGTTTCAATGCAAGAAGTATGATAGGCAAGGTAGGTGAACTTAGAGCTTTGGTTAGTACTTGGAACTATGACATTATTGCGATTACAGAGACTTAGTTGAAAGAAGGACAAGACTGGCAGCTAAATGTCCCGGGATTTAGATGTTTCAGATGTGATAGAAAGGGAGGTGAAGGGGTGGGGGAGTTGCATTACTGGTAAAGGCGTATCTCAGCTGCATTGAAAGAGGATACATCAGAAGACTCCTGCAACGAGGCAGTATGGGTAGAACTGAGGAATAGGAGACGTGAAATCATAATGCTAGGGGTATACTACAGGCTTCCCAATAGCCAGCGGGCGATAGAGGAGACAGTATGTATACAGATTTTGGAAAAGTGTAAAAACAGCAGGGTTGTTGTGGTGGGTGATTTTAAGTTCCCCTATTACTAGTGTAATTGAGTATCTGGTCTATATATGTAGTCTTTCTACATATGCTAATCTGGAGTTCCCCATTGTTTTTGCATTCTGCCATTATGTCCAGGAAGGGTAGTCAGTTGTTGTTCTCTTCTTCTGTGAATTTTATCCCGGTAAGGATGTTGTTTATGTGTCAGTGGGTTTCTTCGAGTTTTGTGCTTTTGGTAATCACAAAGGTGTCATCTACATATCGGACCCAAAGTTTGGGTTGTATAGTGGGCAGCGCTGTCCATTCTAACCTTTGCATTACTGCTTCTGCAATCAGTCATGGTATGGTGGATTCCATTGGTGTTCCGTTGCTTTGTTTGTATATGCTGTCATTGAAGGTGAAGTGGGTTGTGAGGCACAGATCTAGTAGTTTCATGGTGGTGTCCTTATTGATGATGTTGGTGTCCCGGGTGCCTGCCCACTTGATTCGTCCAGTAGTGTGGCAATTATCTCTTTGGCTAGATTGATATTTATGGATGTGAATGGTACTGTTACGTCAAATGATAAAAAAAAATTTACAAAAGAAGAAGAGGACAGCAATGGACTACCCTTCCTGGACATAATGATAGAATGCAAAAACAACAAGGAACTCCAGACTAGCGTATATAGAAAGACCGCACTTATGGACCAGATACTCAGTTACACAAGCAGCCAGCCCAATACCTACAAACTGAGCTGCATCAGGACACTATTTAAACAAACCCAACACATTGCAGCAACCTGGAACTACAGGAGAACAGGATCACCATTATGAAATCTTCAAAAGAAATGGATACCCTAAAAGCACAATCCGCCGTTACCTCCGAGACAGACCACACTGGAAGACAAAACATGACCAGATTCACTGATCACCCTACAGTACATCAAGGACATTTCAGAGATGACCACAGGACTACGCAGACTTCTAGGTATCAGGGTAGCCCACAAACCAACAATCGACCTACGACAGCTACTGACGAACGTAAAGGATCCCATACCCAAAACTGGTGTAGTGTACAAAATACCATGCAAGGACTGTGAGAAACATTACATAGGCCAAACCAGAAGAAAGTTGACAATATGGATACACAAATACCAACTAGCCATCAAGAGACACAACCAATTCTCACCTGTCTCAATACACATGGACACTGAGGGGCAAGAATTTGACTGGGACGACACAGCCATAATTGCACAAGCCAACCAGAGACACACCAGGGAATTCCTGGAGGCCAGGTATTCCAACCAGAACTCCATCAGCAAACGCATTGAATTAGACCCAGTGTACAAACCACTGAAAACAAAACTGGAAGTGGTACCAAACAACCCAACAAACTGCGGCATATAAATAATAAGTGGGACAGAACACCGACACTTCACCAGAGAGGTGCACTGACGATGTTACCTAGCAGGTGGTGTTCCACAGGGATCAGTGCTGGGACCTCTGTTGTTTGTTGTCTCCATTAATGATTTGGAGGAAAACATAGCTGGTCCAATTAGAAAGTTTGGGGTCCAGACACGGGTTAGTGGAGTTGCGGATCGTGAGGAGGATACAGCAGGATGTAGATCAGGTGGAGGTGGGCAGAAAAATGGCAGATGGAGTTTAATATGGACAAATGTGAAGTCAGGTACAGGTGAAAAGTCAGGTACAGTGAATAGCAGAACCCTTAGGAGTATTGATATGCAGAGGATCTGGGTGTGCAGGTCCACAAATCATGGAAGGCAGCAGAGCAGGTAGATAAGGTGGTAAAGAAGGCTTATTGGCACGCTTGCCTTCATTGGAGGGGCATTGAGTCTTAAGATAGATAACTTATGCTGCAGCTTTATAGAACTTTAATTAGGCCACACTTGGAATATTGCCTTGAGTTTTACAGTAGGATGTGGATGTTTTGGAAAGGGTACAGAAAAGGTTTACCAGGATATTGCCTTGTATAGGGGATTTTAGCTATGAAGAAAGGTTGGATAGACTGGGTTTGTTTTCACTGGAATACAGGAGGTTGAGGGGCA